TGCATATTATGGTATCACAGAACCATCGGGACAACCATCGGAATGACCATCGGGACAACCATCGGGACAACCGCCGGACAACCATCCGAACAACCATCGGGACAACCATCGAGACAACCATCGGTAAAACCGTCAGCACAACCATAAGGACAACCATCGGGACAACCATCGGGACAACCACCGGGACAACCAACCGCGACACAACGCCCAGACCAGGGCGACTCGTTTTGGCCCGACGTGGCCTCGACTGGGGCGGGAACTCGCGCAGCTGCGCCGCGCCCGCGCGCGCGTCATGCACGGCACGAACCGAAACTGAAATCAAATTCTCGGCTGGGCGAATCCGCTTCACTTCGATCTCACCCCCAACCTCCAATCGCCCGTGGCGTTTGCCTGGCATCGCAGGCCAGCGTACTTGCACTTCTGGCATGGTTGGCACCCAGGGGCCCACCCAAGCATCGCGGACGGCCCGTACTCCCTGGACGGGACCTCCAGAGCCGCAAGCCTTGCATGATCGCGGCCACATGAGTCCGGCTGTTTCAGGCCTCCAGTCCGCGGAGCACATGGCTGCAGCTCCAGCTGCTCGTGCTCCCGCTGCTGCCTGTGCTGCCCGCCCTCCCCCACTGCCCCCCCGGCCAGCCAAGCCAGCTGCCCCGCTCGCAGGAACCCCTGAACTTTTTTTTCGTCAACGGCGCGGCGGCGAACCCCGCTCCAGCGAGAAGCTAGAGACGGGCACCAACTAGCGAATCGGCCGGCGTGCAAGGAGGGGGGGGGGGGGGGGAACAACCCCTGAACAGTCAGACTCGAGCCACGCCTGGGCACCGCACGCGCCCCCCCCAGGGAGGTCCTCGGCGCCCAGGGCGTGCGGGGGCATGTGAGGGGGCCCAGGGACACACAGAGAAATGCACACGAATCCCAGGATCCCCCATACTTCCCCATGCTTGCTGGGGTGTCGTTTTCCCCCCCACTTCCCATAGATTCCCAAATCAATTGTGTCTGTGTGTGTTTCTCCCCTCCCGAGTATGGCAGGAAGGCGCCAGCGGTACACGCCGGCCCTGGCCGGGCCTACCCTCGGACGGGGCCGCGGCGCGGGCGCCCTCCCATGGCGCAGGACTTCTGCAGGAGTCCCGCGGCTGCCCCAAGGCATCCCCAGGTCGCTCCCAAAGGAATCCCCTGGCCAGGGCTGTACACACACACACGCACACACACACACACACACACACACACACACACGCACGCACGCACGCACGCACGCACGCACGCACGCACACACGCACGCACGCACGCACGCACGCACGCACGCACGCACACACACACACACACACACACACACACACACACACACACACACACACACACACACACACACACACACACGCACGCACGCACGCACGCACGCACGCACGCACGCACGCACGCACGCACACACACACACGCGCGCACGCACTTTGGCGGTCGCGGCCTCGCGCGCAGCGACGAGGCGGGCAAGTCGAAGAGCAACAGGAGCGGGCGCGCGTGGCCGGGCCCTCAGGCGGGATCAACCTGGATCGCCGCACGTGCCACCCTGGGGGGTGGGCAGCGCATAGCCATCCGGGCGGGGATGGCGAGGAAAGAAGAGACAGTGCCCGCCACGGGAGCGCCCCACGGAGATCGCATCGCGAGACCAATGGGCGGCAGCACGTATAGCCAACCTGGCGCGGTTGGCGGGCACGAGGAGCACTAGCCGCTCTGTGCGGGCGTCCCGCAGAGGCAGGAGCGCAGCACACACACACACACACACACACATCTTTGGCCCAGGACTGCACTGGCCAGGACTGGTGCACTCGTACAGCCGGCGGCCTCCGAGATCTGGGGCTGCCCAGAGCCCTCTTCGGAGCCCTTCTGACCCAGGCGTCCGACGCCAGGGTCGTTTCGCGACGCGGACCCCCGGAGGAGGAGGAGGAGGAGGAGGAGGAGGAGGAGGAGGAGGAGGAGGAGGAGCAGGAGCAGGAGGAGGACTAGGACGATGAGGAGGACTAGGACGAGGAGGAGGAGGAGAGGAGGAGGAGGAGGAGGAGGAGGAGGAGGAGGAGGAGGAGGGAGTCCCGGGGGCCCGGGGCGGGCCTCGTGAGGCCGAGGAGGAGGAAAGGGCCCGCCGCCCTGCTGCTCCGCGCGGCGCCAGGGGTCGGTCTGGGCCCTGGGCCTCAAAGATCGGCCCAGGGGGCCAGGCGTGGCGACGAGAGTGAAGGGGCCCTGGGACACACAGATAGATAGACACCAATAACAGGATTCCCCACCTTTTCCCATATCGTCTGGGCTTTCGTCTTCCCCCCCACTTCCCATATTTTCGCATATTTTCCTGGGAGTCGACGATTGATTGTGTCTGTGTTTTTTCCCCTCCTGAGAGAGGCCTCCCAGAGGCCCAAGACAAAACCAGAAAGCCGTGCATCCGTGAAGGACGCGTGGGCAGAAAACGCAACGGAAGCGCAGCTGAAGAGCTGCCCGAGCTGGCGCCACTGGGAGGGGGGAGAAAGGGGAGGAGAAGAGGGAGGGCGCAGACGGCCTCAGATACTCACACGATCGAGAGTGTACACGGACGTCGCCCAGGGCCGTCCAGAAGATCTGGACCTTCGGTCCTCGAGCCCCGAGCCCCGAGCCCCAACCCCTCTGCGAGGCCTGGGCCCCAGGCGTTAGCCCTGCCAAGCGGGCCTGAGCCCTCCTCCTCCTCCTCCCTCCTCCCTCCTCCCCTCCTCCTCCTCCTCCTCCTCCTCCTCCTCCTCCCGCCTCCTCCTCCTCTCCTCCTCCTCCTCCTCCTCCTCCTCCTCCTCCTCCTCCCTCCCCTCCTCCTCCTCTCCTCCTCCTCCTCCTCCTCCTCCTCCTCCTCCTCCTCCCTCCTCCTCCTCCTCCTCCTCCTCCTCCTCCTCCTCCTCCTCCTCCTCCTCCGCCTCCTCCTCCTCCTCCTCCTCCTCCGCCTCCTCCTCCTCCCTCCCTCCCTGGGGCTGCCCGTTCCTCCTGACCCGTTCGTGGAGCGGCCCCGGGGCCCCGGGCGGACCTGGCGAGGGCAACTTCTGCCTTCCTCCCCAGAGTCCCCCAGGATGGCTTCTGCTCGTACCCCTGGAAGCTCCCCCCAACATCCGTTTCCGTCTGCTCGAACCGCCCGGTTGGGAGGCTTCTACCTCTACCGTAGAAGCCTCCCAAATAGGGGCTCCGAGTAGATGGGGTCGGAGGATCGCGCCGCACCGCCGATGCATCGCCGATGCATCGGCGGCGCATCGGCGGCACATCGGCGACGTCAGCGGTGGATCGGCCAGCCAGCGCGGAGAACATCGGGCTCCGCATCGAGTCGCAGCTGCGACACGTCGGCGACGCGGCACAGTCCTCTGACCCATCTGCTCGGACCGCACCCGGGAGGCCTGGAAGGGGAAGCCCCGCCCAGGGCCAATCAGCGGATCCGGCTGGGCCGCGGAGTCTCGCAGGTCCGCGCCCGAGAGCAGGCCTGCCTGCCCGCGCACCACCCGCCCTCCCCGCCCTCCGGGCAGAGCCGGGGCGGCGGCGGCTGCACGGCCCTGGCCTCCTCGCGGAGGGGGCGCAGGGAAGGGAGGGGAGGGGTCGCTCCAGCTCTTTCCCCAGCCTTCCGTCCCCTCGCAGTCTTTCGGCGTCCCGGGCGATCGGCCGACCAGCCGCCGTCGTTCAGCCTGGAGCAGCAAGGAACTGCTTCCAGCTTTACACCCCCTGTACGTCTGGCTCTCCAGCTGTCCGCTTCCCAGCCTTCCAAAATTCTTCCAGCTTTCTGGGTCTAGTTTTCTAACGTTCAACGCTTCAGCTTTCCAACGTTCCAACTTAACAGCCTTCCAAGTTACAAGCTCTATATATATATGTATATATATGTGCATATATATGTATATATATATATATATATATATATATATATCGAGCTGCCCAGTTTTATGCTTTCCAACTTTCCAACTGGTTCGCTTTTTCCAGCTGTCCAACTGAATTGCCAGCTTTTCAACTGCCTAATGTTTCGGTTGTCCCGCTTTCTTGCTGGCAACTTTCCAGCTCTCAAATCTCAACTTTCCGAGCTTCAGCCTTACAGCTACCTGGCTTCCAGATGTACCATAGTGCAGTTTCCAGCTCTCGGTGTTCCAGCACTTCAGCTCTCCAGCTTTACAGCGTCCCTGCTTGCATGTCTCGGATTTCCAGCTTTCTTTCAACTCTCCAGCTGTCTGAGATTAATGTTTCTGTTGTTCCAAATTTCTGTTATCCGGCTGTCCAGCTAACCGTCTTTCAGCTTACGACAGCGGGCAGCTTTCCAGCTATCCAACTTTCAGCTCTCAACTTTCCCAACGTCTGCTCTCCAACTTTGAATGCTCCAGGTTGACAGATATTCAACTTTCAGCTTTCTGGCTGTCCAGCTTTCGTCTTTCATAGTTCATCAGTTACTTGATTCAGCTTTCCAACTGTCTAACTTCTGACTCTACACGTGATCAGCTCTCCGCTTTGCAATTGGTCAAATCTTCCGCTTCACAACTTTCGAACATTCAGCTCGGTTTTCCAAGTTTCCAGCTTTCCAACTCCACGGCTTTACAACTTTCCAACTTTCGGCTTTCCAAATGTCGTATTGCTTAACTTTCCAACGTGCCAGCTTTCAGCTTTCTGACATTCCAGCGTGCCAGCTGTCTTCCAGCTTTCTTCCCGCACTCCAGCTTTACAGCGCTCCAGCTCTCCAGCTCTCTAGCTCTCTAGCTTTCCCGCTTTCAACTCGGCTTTCGACGGCTTTCAACCTTCTCAATGGCTTTCCAATTTTCTCATCGTGCAGCTTGTTGCCGGCTTTCAGCTCCCGAGCTTCCCATATTCCAGCTGTCCCTCATTCTTAAGCTTTCGGACTGCAACCTTCCAGCTTCCCGCCCTTCCGCCTACCAGCTCTCCGACTGCTTCGCTCTCCGGCTCCAGGAAAGACGGGAGGGAGGGAGAGAGGAAGGCGGGGAGGGATGGGCCGGTGGAGGGCTTGGGCGGTGACCTTTTCTTCTTCTTTTTTTTGTTCGTGCAGTCCGCCGCGGCAAGAAGGTCACGCCTATGGCGCGTCTGTGCCGGGCGAGCCGTGGGCGCACCGATGCAAAGATCCCCCTCCTCCTCCTCCACAGGCACCTCCTCCACAGGCACCTCCTCCCTCCTTCTCCTCCTCCTCCTCCTCCTCCTCCTCCTCCTCCCCCTCCTCCTCCTCCCCCTCCTCCTCCTCCTCCTCCTCCTCCTCCTCCTCCTCCTCCTCCTCCTTAGCAGACGTGTGGACTCCCGCCCCCCCTTGCTGTGGACCCACGGCGGCGGCGCCAGGCGCAGCCGACACCGGCGGCAGGGGCGACCTTGTCCCCGGCACCAGGGGCCGCGGTGGCGCGCCATGAAACAAGCGAGGGCCGCTCGTCCTGCCCTGGATTCTCTGTTGCTCTCGACATGGCGCGAGGCAGTTACCTCGGGGATGGACAGACCCCCCTGTAGTAAAACGTGGTTTAGTGAAAACGACCTCGGGCCCAAACCTGGCGGGCGCAAGCCTGGAAAATGACGGCCGCGGCGCCCTCTCGAGAACCGAAAACGGACGATTCACTAATCGACGTGTCACTATTGGGGGTTCTGTCCACCCCCGATTACTATACAAGGCCCGAGGTTGACAGCAGGAGGAAGAGGACGAGAACGAGGATGAGGATAAGCAGGACGGCGCAGACCGGGGCGCTGCCGCTCCAGCGCCAGGCGGACGGGCGGGCGGCTTCGCCGCATCACCAGTCCTCGAGCATGCGCGCGGGGACCCTGCGCAACGCGGAGAGCAGGGCCTCCAGGAAGCCGAACCCGAAGACGTCGCTCGGCTCCAGCACGCTCTGCTCGTTCCACTCGTTCCAGGAGCCGATGAAGTACAGGTTGTCCTGGACGTCTCTCCCCCCTTGCTGAGACATCGACTGCAAAGAGGCCTCAACGGCCACTCGGAACATCCACGGCTCCAGCACGCTCCCATTATCAGTTTCGTTCCTCCCTGGGTGGCGCGGGCGGTTGTCGAATCCAGCGGTGGCGCCCCAGTACTGCGTGGCCTGCGACATTGCAGGGCTGTTCGCCACCGTCGAGCACGGGCGCTTGCCCTCAGCAGGCGCTGGGGGCCACGTGGACTTGTTATCCGCGTCCCAGCAGCAGAACTGTAGCGACGGGAAATGGAACGCCGCCTCGATCAGTGGCGTGTGCGTCCACCGCAGCTCCTCGGAGTCCTTCTTGCCAAATTTGCCGGCCATCGTAACGATGACGTGCAATCCTGGCAGGCCGCTGTCGCGCGCGAGGCCCTCCCACAGCCTCAGCATGGGCTTCAGGCTGTCCTCCATCAGCCCCGCCCTGTACAATGCGAACGCGGGCTTGCCCTCCACCCGGATGTACTTGGGATGCTTGAAGAATCGCAGGAGGTACCGGAAGTGCCTGGCCCAGTCGTCGGCGGAGCCGTAGCTCTGCGCCAACAGCGTGTTGTTGTCCGTCTTGGTGCTGCCATCCCAGCGCCGGGTCCAGGCCTCGTTCGCCCAACTCAACATGAAAGGGACGTCGGGCTGACCGTCCTCGAGTCGAAGTTCCGGGACTTTGAACATAACTTTCTCGCCCTCCACGCTGCTGAACCAGTAGTGGTAGTACACGAAGCCGTGCACGCCGTACTTCCTGGCCATCTCCGCCTGCTTCGCGCGCACGGACGCGTCGCGGAGGTCGTAGTAGCCCAACCCCCCAGCTTCAACCCCCAGTGGCTTCCGTATCCCCTCAACCTGGCAAGGCCTCAGGAGCGTCCACTCCGTGAAGTTCTTCCCCCAGAACTTGTCGTTCTCGGGAATCGGGTGGTACTGGGGAAAGTACAAGGCCATGGGCTTCGGCGCCGGCGGTATCTCGGCCAGCCTCAGGGACAGCAGCCGCAGGGCGGTCGGGACGTAGACCTCGAGCAAAGACTTCTGCGCGTCTTTGCCGTCAGGGGTATGGCTGCCCAGCTGCAGCCTCAACGCCTTGCTGAGCTCCACGACGCCCGCCGCAGGGCGCGGCCCCAAGTCGAGCTGCCCCCACCGAGCCCAGTACATGCCACCCACGACGGCCACAGCGCCCTCCCACTCGGACAAGTTGCCCCCGAAGCGAGCCAGCCGGGCGCCGCTGACGGCACTGTCGCACGCCGCCTCGCCCTTGAAGCGCCTTTGCCGAAGCCACGGCAGGATGTCGTCCGTGCTCGTTTTGTTGGTCACCACGGTGCCCAACGGGGCCACCAGGCCAAGCGTCCATTTCTCGGCGAACAATCGCTGGACCGAGTGGACCTGGGCCGGCGTGCCGCAGAGCGACTGCACCGCCCGCCGCGCCACGTCGGCCCCCTCGTCGGCGCCCAGCAGCAGCGCCAGATCGTGGGCCGCGCCAGAGGCCTTGGCCTCCTCCAGCTGCCAGGCGAGCATCTCCGCGTTGGTGTGGCCGGGCACCTCGTGGATGCTCGCCTCGCCGAGCACAGGGAATGACCCAAAGGCCGGCAGAAACTCCGAGTGGCACTCTGGGCTCACCGCCAAGCTCACCGAGACGGTCCAGTTCAGCTCTGCCGCTGCCGCGGCGATGCTGCCCAGGCACTCGGACACGAGCTCTTCGAAGACGGCGCCGCCCTCGTGAAGCAGCGGGGACTTGGAGCACTGGGCGGCCTGGATCAGGACCGCGACCTTGGTTGTGCTGCTCTCCACGACGGGCGGGGCCTCCACGCGCCGGAACACCTCCTGCCTCGACCTCCTGCCCTCGAGCAGCGGGGCCCCGAAGAGCCCCACGCCCACGAGGCAGGCGCCGCACGCCGCCAGCAGCAGCCAGCGGGCGGCCAGCCACGCCCACTGCCGCTCGGGCAGCGGCTCGCCACTCGCGGCGGGGGGCCGCGCGGCCGGCGCCTCCTGCAGCTCGCGCTCCTCGAAGACGAGACTTGCGCGCTCCTCCGGCTCGCCTGGGCTGGGCTCGGCCGTGGCGGGTGCCGTCCTCGTGTCGCACTGGAGCCCCGTAGCCATTGGTGGCACCAGTGGCCCGGTGCCAGAAAAAGGTTTGAGCCAAAATAGCTACGGGAGGGGTTGGGTGGTGATCTTGATCGCATTTCCGAGCCAGCGTCTTCAAACAAAACTCTGCCAGCTTGACAGTGTGCTGCATTACGCTGCGGTGCTTCTTGCAGAAGGGTCCAATGGCACGTGCATGCATCTGGCCACCCTTGCCTCTGATCCACTTCCTGAGCGCTGCTGGGATGCCGACGGGAGCGATGACACTGATCGTGCTTGCCAATCTGCTGTCTTGCACTGGGATGCGTCTGGCAAAAGTGCCCCTTGTCGCTTGCATGTACCTGGCCATCTTTATCTCTGATAACATTCCTCAGCGCCGATGGGATGTCTACAGATGACGTGACCCTAATACTGCTTCCATATTCTTGTTGCTCTAGCCCGGGAGTCTTCTGGCAAAACTCAGCCAACTTGCCAAGTTGATGCCTTGCACCGGGATGTTTCTGGCAAAAGCGCCCCATGTCGAGTGCATGTATCTGGCTACCCCTACCTCTGATAAGTATCCTCACCGCAGTTGGGATGACGACAGCTGTGGTGGCCCTGAAAATGCTTCCAACATTTTGGAACTCCAGTTCCATAGTCTCTTGGCACATGTCAGCCAGCTTGCCAAACTGATGCCTTCTACCGCGATGCTCCTCACTAAACTGCCCCATGCCGCCTGCATGATTATGACCATACCTATAAATATATATGTGTACACGCACATCTAAGTATGTAAGCACATATCTGGACTTCTGCAACGCGCACGCTTCGCGCGCTTAGATTGTAGTGTGCCAGTCAGTGTAGCATCAGCAGGTGGGCACGACCACCCATTCACAACGACTGAGACGTGGGGGACTCCATTGCGAGATTGTGAACACAAGTCCGACTAAGGGGCCGAAGGGGCTTACACACGCGCTTGGGTGAGTTGCTTTCGCGCGTAGCTGCGTAGTGTTGCGCAAGCCAGCGAATCCAAACTTACAAGGGGAGGGGGGCGGAGGAGGAAGGTAATTTCCGGCCCCCGGGACCGTCACTTTATAATCTGGGATCCAGAAACTTCAAGAAGCCCTAAAACCAGGATCGTCGAACGTCAACCTTCGATCCTCCTCCTCCTCGTCCTCGTCATCCTCCTCCTCCTCCTCCTCCTCCTCCTCCTCCTCCTCCTCCTCCTCCTCCACCTCCTCCCCCTGTTCGGGGCGGAGTTGCGCTGATTTCGTGTCGGATTTGCATCGGTTTGGGGGGCTCTGAGGGTTCACTTGAAACCGTGTCGGGGCCTACCGTGGCAGTTTCGGGGGCGTCTGGGGGGCGGCCTGGGAGACTCCAAAGTCGTATCAGGGAGCGTCTGGGCCCTCGGCGCGGCGGCGGGTGCTCTTGAGGTTCCTCGGCGCTGTCCTCAGGTCGGGCATGTCCCCCTACCAGGGGGGTTTTGGACGAAAAACAAAAAAATACCCCAAAAATACTCAAACCGATTAAAATGAATGCTCAAGAAATCATCCCCAAAGAATTTCTTGACTACTTTTGAATATTCCTCCTGTAAAGGGACAGGCCCGACTCAACGCTTTCCTCAAGCCCCCCCAGGGCCCCGAGGACAGCGTCGGACGCCTCCAGAGGGGGGGACCCGCCGGGGAGCACCAGGAGCGAATGAAGAGAACCAGCGACGGGGACGGGCACAGCCTGAACTTGCGCGAGCGGCGCAAGCGCCTGTCGGGCCACGGACGGGACGTTCCGAGGACCAACTGGGGCACAGGCCGGAGAAGGAATGACCATTAAACCCACTTGGGTTTGAGGGCGGGGGGATTCAGCAGGCTCTCGGGAGGTCGATTTGTGGCTTCCGCTTGGCCCCATGAGGGGCGGTGGCTTCACCGCTTCGCGGTCGCACTGCCCGCTTCGTCTCCTCGGCGGGACGCGGGTCGGAAGAAATCCTGGTGCTTGGTGTCGTGCTGTGCCGTGCGGTCGGTGTGGTGCCGCCGCCTGGACTCCGGGGCGGGATAGCAAGTACCGGGCTCGCGGGCTCGTCCCGCGGGGCTCACGGGCTTGTCCGGTGGCGTCGGCGGCTGCTGGCGGCCGTCTTTCGCGCACCCCAGTCCCTCCCGCCCTGCGCTGGGTCGTGTCCTCCGAGTGGCGCTGGCGCTAGGCCCCGTCGAGTGGTTCGGTCGCGTCCCAGCGCCGGCAGCGCTTCGTGTCACTCGCCCTCTGCAGGCGCGGTCACTCGGAGGCTGCGTAGAATCCTCAGAAGCGGAGAAGAGGCCACGGGGCAGGAACCGCTCGGAACGTGCAGTCTGCGCGGACGTGCCTGGGAATGCAAGGCTCCAAGGCGCCGCTGCGACACTGGCAGCGGTGGCTGGAGCCGAGGACCGTGGAGGGGTTACCCTTGAACACGTACACAGCGATCGCGAAGTGGCGCAATGCAAAAACACGAATCCAGCACAAACCTAAGAGATTGTACTGCGGAAGTTGTGCCTGATCTGTGTCGGCCCGGGGCCCTCTGGGAGTGCACTTCTATCCGTCTTGGGGCCAATCCTGACAACGTGGGAGCGGCGTCTGGCGGGGCGCCTCGAGAGTCTGCAGAGTTCGTCTGGGGGAGCTTAGGACCGTGGCGCGAGGGTGGGTACGCTGAGGCTCCTTGCAGCTTTCCTGAAGCCCCTCCACGCCGCGAGAAGAACATTGGATGCCTCCAGGGGGGCCGGGGCCTGGCTACTGTAGAAATTGCGCTGGTTTGTCGCAGTTGTGTCGGTTCGGGGCCCTCTGGGGGCGCATTTGAAGCAATCTTGGGCCCGATGCAATGCTGGCAGCTTGGGTGGCGTCTGCTGGGGCGGCTTGGGAGCCTACAGAGGTCGCCGTGGGGAGCTGGGAGCCTCGGCGTGGGGGTGGGAACTCTGAAGCTCCTTGGGATTTTCGGCAAGCCCTCCCAAGCCCCGAGGAGAGCATCGGGTACCTCACGGGGGGCCCGCCAGGTAGCGCCAGGAATGCCCGAGAAGAGCGAACGACGGACACAATACCAACACAAAGCCGACACAAATCTAACACAATCTATTCCCGGATTTGCACTGGTGTCGTGTCAGATTTGAGTCGGTCTGGTGCCCTCTAGGGGCACATTTGGACACCACCGTCTTCGGGCCAATCTTGGCAGGTTGGGGACTGGGGGGGCGGCGTCTGAGAAACCCGTAGAGGTCGTCTTTCGAAGCTTGGGGCCCTGGGGTGGTGGGGGATACTCTGAGGTTCCTCGGCGCTTTCCTCAACCCCCCCAGGCCCCGAGGAGAGCATCGGACGCCTTCGGGGGGGACCCGCAAGGTGGCACCAGGAAAGAATGACGAGAGCAACCGACGGA